CAATTTTACTTATTTATAAAATTAAAAATGTATGTGTAGCTAGGAAATGACAACGCAGGCACAGCTTCTTCAAGACAGGCGAGTTGCTTTGGTTTATTAAACRGAGTGAAAACTACCAATAAGAAACAGAGACTTCAGTCACTTCATTCAGCTACAATTAACACACGTGCTTGAGCAAAAAGTTACCTCATGGCCGCCTGCCAATTCAAAAGTCCTAGGTGAATAATCTTACAGTCTTGTTTCTCAGTCAACACATTAATTAGAACACCAGTGATTACAAATTTACAGAATATTACAACACAAATTAACCAAAATACCTTGTACAGCAAGCGATTTGACCAGGCTGTTGCAGATGGCTCAGTCAAAGTTTTGTCCGTATTTTTTACAGCCTCTTATAAACTTCACGATAATAATGGTACAACAAAAAAATGTCTTTTTTTGTCAAGAAAAGTACATTTTAAGCGCAATTTAAAACATTTTCACAGCAAGAACCAAACCCAAAAATTCACTTTCCATATGTGTTGAGTGGGTAATTGTATGAAAATGTGGAATTTTGAATTAAAACAAAAACCAGCCACACATTTTTAATGCAGACTGTCACTCATGACTCAGCATAAAATAAAACAAAGAAATATAACGTTGTAGGAGACCATAAAATATGTACACAAGCAGTTAACCTCAAGCATGCTGCCCCAGATATGCTTCAGTTGCCTTAAAGATTAAATGCCAGCTCCTAAACTAACCGAGTCTTCACAAACACAATAAAAAGTTAATTTTTTGTTTGTTCATTTCTTTCTTTTTTCTTTTCTTTTTCACTATACTGCTAGAGTTGCACTGACATCAAGTTGATTTTTATTTTCAAACATTTAAACTAGAGGCTTTATTAATTGTTAAAATTGTGTTAAATAAACCTTTGTTGTTTCCATCTATCCATCTACAGTTTGTTTTTGCATTTCAAGAATGTTTCTAAGATGAAAGCCTTTCTTTTTGATAATTATGTAAATTATGGAAAGAAAATTATTACAGCCTTAATCATTTCAAGGTTGCATTTTTTTTTGTTAATCTGCCCATTAGCACATCAGCTAGTATCTGCTGTGGTCCCATTTTCCCTCTGGTTACAAAATTAATTTTAGGATTACTGTTTATTTACAAGACTTGGCATCTAAGTTTTAGTTTGAACAGTCTGACCTGACTTTAACTTTAAACTTCTTCATCTGAACAACTGCTTTTGGCTTTCCATTGTTATTGACTCACCTGAACACGTTTGTTTTTTTTAGCCCAGTTACTTTGTGGATTTGAGTCATAGCCTGTTAGCTACTTGTAGCATGTTTTTTTTCTTATGTAGCAAATTTTACTACAAAGTTTTAAGTCCTTGTTTGTTGTCTCATTTTAACTATCGCATCCTATTTAATTCGTTTATTTGTTCAATTGTTATCATGCTGCTTTAAATTTTCATTACAGAACTTTGTTTAGCTTTGGTAGTTGTATAGAAGCTCCAAAAAACTTGTTTTAGATATTTTCATTTTCTATTATTTTGTACMATCTATCCATCCATTTGTCCCACTTTTTGTTTCCAGGTCATGGTGGAGCTGGTACCTTTCTCCAGCAGTCACCATCTGACAGGCATTGTAGGAGACCTTGTTATAGAGACTAATGGATACTTACAGTGATCATGGTTGGTTTTGAGCTTCTCAAAAAAGCGTAAAGAGTTTTTTTCATTGGGACAGCAGGAATATTGTGTGCCTTCAATGCATGCACTTCAGTTGAAATCAGCATGTCTAAAAGCAGCAGCCCCAGTACATTATCTGTTTCAGCATCAGAGTCAGCATAGAGCCCTAAAAAAGGAACTGTCATTTCCAGACAGAAACATGTTCTCTATCTTTTATTGTGCTTGAAATTTGAAATACACTTGCATTCAGTGTGATGGCTCTGTTAAAGTGTTTATTTTGCTTTTTCTCCCTATGACATCAAAGCTTCCACCTTTCAGGTAGGCCATAAAAGATATAAAGGAATAGGTGTACAAAGCTAGGAACGAGTAATGAAACAACAAATAGATTACATAGTAATATATCTCCTTTAGTCCTTTAAACATAACAGATTAAAGCAGCAGGCACTAGAGGCAACAATATAGAAGATACAGAAAATGACTGTTTGATGTCTCACACCTGAGTGAATTTGAAGCCACTGACCACTTGCATGAAAAGCAATAAAAGAGCAACACCAGCAGCACTGCATTCAAAGACTAAAAAGCCTTTTATGAACCATAAGCTGTATTAGCATTTAATCTAACACAAATGACATTTAAATATAAAGCATAATGCATTAGGTTAGCTATGAGTTTCTGCATTTCAGCTGTTTATAAAAGAACAGAACATTGAATTTAAAGATAACCTCGATAAAAAAATATTGCTCTGCTTGAACTGCTTTTATGCCTGAATTTGACACATTCTGACCTGCACTTTTTTTCTTTAATAAATGCATTATGTATGGCAAAACTCTAAATACTTCAGTTGCTAAAAACACCACCCTGAGCCTCTCTTGTCAATATTGCATTACAGATTCATTTTGACTGTATTCCACAGAATGGATACTGGGTTTGCTTGCTCAGAAGACCATGTGGGTCAAATGCCTCACTTGCATTCAGAATTTGGTCTGCTATTTTGGCTGGAGTCCTATACTGTGCATAATGTATATGTCTAAATGAAAATCTATAAACTGTAAACAAACAGAATATTCTGTACCACGTATTATTTGTTTGTTGCACCAATGGGTGTACTTTGTGCCTCTAAATCATTCTCATTTGGTTTATAGCTCTGTTGCTTTCCTAACACTGTAGGAGAAACAAACATATGTAATATTAAAACAGATAAGCTAAAGCATATAACAAATACGTTCAAAATGACACTGTTACATTGATTTGATTTGTTTCAGCTTGAAGGGTTGAATCACAACAGTTCTTTAAGTATTTCTTTGTAATAAATCAGTATTCCAAAGTCTACTGGTAGTACATGCATATGGACACATATGAAGCAAACAGCAAGGACTTAGGAATTGTTTTTATTTAAAACTATCAAGATAGATGTGAGTAATTCTGCCTCTTTGACCCATGTTTGCCTCATCGTTTTACTTTCTGCTCCTGCAAGCTCATTGGCATGCATGATAAGCATTGACTGGGAGCAACATATCACCGTTATTCATTGACAGAGTACACCTCAGAGCCAAACTGACAGATCAAAAGATGATGATGATAGGCTGAGGGTACTGGTGTTAGAGGTGATAAATGACCCCATTGTTTGGAGATGGCTACGTGCTAGAAGTTTGAGAGCAGAGTTTTGTTTTGTTTTTTGTTTTTTTTTTTTGTTTTTTTTTTTCATCACAAACCCTTTACTTTAAGAGCATGATGCTTTAAGGACTTTTACTATATCAAGGCCACATCCCCATTTGCAAATTATTTCTCTAAATCCACATTTTCTGCAGCATTTGTAAGACTCAAAATGCAAACTGTCTTTGATGACAATATATTATTATCATTATTAATATTACAAAGTATGGTGTGGTGGACGAGTAAACACATTTAAAACTTTAGTAGAAATTTACAGTTTCTGTACCTTACCGGAGTAATTATATTTCTGCCATCCTTTTAAAAGTAAACATACTTTATTTGTTGTCAATGTATGTTCCCATGAAATGATGAAATTTGTGCTCTGCATTTGATCCATCGCACATGAGAAGCACCCAAGTGGAGCAGTGAGCAGCTATATGTAAGCTGCCTGGGGAGCAGTTGGGGGTCTTGCTCAAAGACACCTCAACATGCGGACTTGGCGGGGAGTCGAACCTGTGACTTTCTGGTCCCAAGTCGGCTACGCTACCACTACACCCCAGCTCCTACTTCTACTCCTTATATGCTCATACAATCACCTGCATTTTTTACTCCTACATTTTATAAATGCAACAAGTATACCATTTCTATTTCACTTAGGCTGAGGCGAACAGCCAGGCTTAGTTAAACCTGGTGTCTTACTTGTTCAGCTAGCGGTAACACCCATCAGAACCAACGTGTTAAAAACAAATGTAAACCCTRGTGTCTATACTTCTAAAGTAATGACTGTGAATACTTTTGACGCCACTAGTATCTTTCAAAAAGTGTTAAGACTAGATCCTACTTTGTACATTGCTTTGTGTATTGAGCTTGCACTTCAAACCATAAGTGAGGTTTTTAATTTAATTATTTATTCATTTATTTAGGGTGGCACAGCAGGGCAGTGATTAGTGTTGTTTAATCACAGCTGCAGGTTAGCTTCGCAGCCTTTCTGTGTGGACTTTGCAAAATCTCCTCATGCTAACATGGGTTTTTGCTGGGTACTCTGGTTTCGCCCCACAGACCCCTAGTTACCCCTACAGTGTGTACACTAGAGAATACTTTAAATTTATAATAATTATTTTGCGCTATCATAAATAAACCTATACACACAATAATAGCAAATGTTGTCCTAAACGTCCAYGTTGCCCTCTTCCTCCTCTTTTTCTCCTTTGTTTAAATATCCCACTGTTAAAGAAAGCAAAGCAAGCATCTTGTCGTTGCCCCTTTTCTTTCCTGTAGCTAGTTGCTTTGGAGTCATTCATCAAGAAGAGTGAGAGTGAACAATCAGTGGAAGCGTTGGCAGGATCCCTGTAGAGATGAGGCAATATTGAATTGATGGAATCATTTAAAGGGCAGAAAAATAAAATAAAAGTTAGAACACAGTGTTGTTTTTGTTTGATTTTTTTCTCAGTGCCTAAATAGAACTGCCCAGTGGCTCTCAGTGTGTTTCATGTCCTAATCTATTTTCTTTCCTAAAAAGGGGGGGAAAAGGGCAAAAACTGGCTGTTTTGGATAAACTGTACGCCTGTTTGTATCTGTTTATGGATTTTCACATTGTCTTGAGTGTATCTCAATCTCTACAAAGCGATTTTTTTTTTGCATAGCCTTTTGTCATGACTGTCAACTCTTTTCTTTATAGCTATTGAAGCGAACACTGAGTCAGTCGAGGATTTGATGCAGAGGTTCCAGGACAGCTTCCGTGTTCCCAACACGCCAACAAACATGTCTCACTACCAGCACGCCGTGCACAGCTCATCTACAGGCCGTCGGAGGGTCTCCAGCCACATCAGAGGTGAGACAGCAAGTCATTTAAAATTTAGATGTTTAGTTGTCACAAGGTTACGGACACTGTGACAAAATGATTTATAACAGTTGCGTGGTTGTAACTTAACAAATAATGTGGGATTTTTGCTTTATTGTCTGTACATGGTTTAGTCTTTTAGCAGATGTGGAGTTATGCGTAGGCTTTTAAGTCATTTTAAGTAATTTATCACAAAACAGTATAATTTGTGGTAATTATTACCAAGGAGAATGGTTTGTTTAAATAATTAAGACTTATTTAGACGTCAAATCTCAGTGTTGCCATTGTCAGACTTGTGTTTCGGGAGGGGTTGTGACTAATTTGCTTACATTTTACTGAACAATACTGTTTTCTGAGTGTATTTTACCATGAAAGGCTGGATTTTTCTGGTTAGTGTTTTTTAAATATTGCAGTAACATCCATGTATTGTATTGGTATACAGTATGTTCATCATAATTACAATTCATTAGTAATAAGACATTTGAAGATTRCTCTGAATATTAGCACACATAAAGCAAGGTTTTTATGTGTGCCCATTACCTGGCACCATAGTTTCAGTCAGATCTGTTGTAAAAAGCAGTCTGTGTCATAAGGCAGATCCTAATTTAAGAAAATTAAGTGTATAAACTAATAGCTTCCTTTTAGTTACTAACATTTGAGGTAGAAGAACCACTTACATTTTTTGTAAGACATGTTTTGGTGGAAGCTTTTTTTCTTTCACTCTGTGTTTGACAGCATCTGCCTACTTGGTGATCATCCGCTTGTACTCGTCTTACGAGATGTTAAGGATGTAAATGTGCATTACTGAAATAAATCACGTCTTARTTATAAAAGAGCAAAGGTGCTATCGTCCCAAGCAGGGTTAAAACTATAAAGGACATGAGTGAGGGATGTCCTTCGTAAAGTAAGTAGCAGAATTACTTCTTTAAAGATTTTTAATGAAAAGGTGAAAGATTTTTTTTTTCTGAGTGTCGACCAGTCCTACAGAAATTACTTAGCTGGATTGAGGTTAAAGGGAAAAGTTAAGCTGTCGGACCTCAAAGGGTCATTGCTGTATAAATGGAATGAATGCATTGCAAATTCCTTAAGAAGAAGCAAGGCGAGCTGCAGCCAAGTAGATGCTTTGCTTTACTAATTACTCAACTGGGTTGAACCTCCTATTTGTCCAGTAGCTATAATTGCATTGCTTCGACCCTTATCTCCTGTTTGTATTTGCATATTGTCACTAAAAGTTCTGCAGCTGAAGCTGGGAGGTTCATGAAGTGGCTGCAACTTTGTTTTTAATGACAAACTTTGCAGTGCAATGGGAGTGTGGTGGGGTAATTGTTTCTCACAACTTTATTTCATGCTGATCTCACTGTGTAAGACCATTATAGCATAAAGCTGCAAGTTATTGCTGTATTTTACAAGAAGTTGGAAGACAAAATAGAGGTGAAGARCTGAAATTAGTGTAATATACACGTCTATAGTTTCATTTTCTCACTTGGGGCCAAAGGGTGACGATTAATGAAAATGTTTTTTTTTCTAAAGATGAACTCAAGATTAGTAAAAAATAAAAACATCTTTAGAAATCACATTAAGCACTGCAACAATCCTTGCTTTAAACACAGAGTAGCATCCTCAGTCAGAAGAGATTTCATGTCCTGGTTTTTAAAAGCATCTTAAAGCTTAGATGAGTTTATATTTTATTTAAAAAAGCCTCTCTATCGTTTTATCTCAGGGATACAAACACGCATTCCGAGCTGAGTTCCATGTGCATCTGACCCACTCCAAAACTGAGGGAGGCACACACTTAGACAGTTTGACTGGACGGTGCCTTCACCACGACAGTTGTTCTGTACCACGGTGGAGATGTTTGACACCGTGATCAAAGGGTTAACACACCAGTATTGACAACAGTGGCAGCTGGCTTGCCTGCACAAGAGCAAAGCTATTGTCCCCAGTGTCTGCGTGGGAGGAAAAACAGTAGGTACTGTGAGGGTATGATGTGTGGGGCGTTAGCAGCACACGCAGCAATTTTCTGAGAATGTTATTTTTTTTTCCCCCTTAACACCTTTGGGATGGAGGACAAAGACTACCATGAAAAGCCAATCTATAAACCCAAAAGATGTCTWGGTGTAGATTTCTCACAAATCTTTTTTTAAGGTAAACAGAAAATATAGTAAAATTTCTAACACCTAAGTTATTAGTAATCTTGAGTGATAACTTTCATAAAGTATAACATAATATGCAGTCACTTGCAAACTGGAGCAGCAGTTTTGTCCTTTCAGCAAAACTTTGCAGCTGTTCATATACTTTTTTTTTCTTCCTACTGTCCCCTTGCTTGCATATTGAAAATGTGCTTTGTGGCAAATTCYTTACTTCCCATTCAGCATATATTGCCCTAGTTTTTTTTGTGCAACATCCTTTACCTGGACCCTGAGAAATTGTTGGCTCATGCATAAAAGTCATTGTTATGCAGTTCTTAGACACATTATTATCGCACGCTGCCGAAGGCGATAATGTTTTTGCCTGTATGTGTGTGTGTGTCTGTAGCGTTAGCAAAATAYCTTAGACATGTTTTAAAGAAACTCACAGAAAGTGATCATTAAATGAATATCTATAACTCATTAACCTTTGGAGTCAACTTGAACATTAGACAACATAGAAATGCCTTTAGTCAGTTTAATAGATTTTAAGTTACAGTTGTGCGATGCAGTAGCTAAAAGTCATTAATAACATATTCTAAACATTAACTGACTGAATGAGATCTGCTTTTAAATGATTGGCATGGAATATTTGAGTAGCCRTGTCTGTTTGCAAAATATCTCCWGAACCACTTGAYGCATTTTAATGAAACTCTCAGAAAATAATCATTAAGTGTGCATCTAAAGCTGATTACATTTATGGGTTCAACAAATTCAAGGTTTTACAGGTATATGGATAACAAAAGATGTGGTAGAACCTGAACATTATCTTCTTGCCTGGGAATACCTTCATTTTTTAKTAAAAATCTGTACAACCATATACAATTTTGAAGTAGTCACCCTATCAAATGCATTTGGCCAATCTGCACTATAAAAGAGCATAGTCCCTTATTTGCATGCACTTCTGTGCGTTTGAATCTCCACTTTGACATTATTGTATTTCCATTTGCTTGCTAGAAGCAGTGGTAGTGTTTTGATGTGTCGCAACGAGTACTTTGAGTCATTATGACAAGGATAACCTTATGGTTATTATATAGGTTTTCTCTTGTTTAATTGATGCTTTGAAGTCGCACATGAAAGCACGACTCTGGGCTGTCTTGTGTGCGTGCGCGTATGGCGTGTGTGTGTCTGTCTGTTAGTCCGGGCGGAAGGAAAAGACGAAGGAACAAAGATCATTCTACGGTCGTCTTCAACTTCAGCTGTCTTCAGTTTTTGCAGAYGAAACACACCAATTATGGTTGTTGTTTGCAGCCCTAGGGAGTGGAGGAAAGGGTTTTCTACTGTACAAGAGATCATAGAGCTGATGTACTGCCAAAATAGTATTTGTGTTGAGCATGGGAAAGATACAGAAGGATGGTAAAACCAACAGTGTATGATCAAACAGTTAATATTAACTCTTAAATTAATAAATTATACATACAGTATTTGTTTGCAATAAATTATACATGAACATTGTTGAACTCATTCTAAAACCTCCATATGTTTTCTTCTTCATTTATGACTCTCAGTGCTGTTATTGGTGAAGAGCACTGTTAAAAATGTGACTATAAATGAGCATAATAGAATGTTTTATTTTTTTTTCTGACAAGATATACACTGTTTTTTTGGTCTTTTACGTTTTCGTTAAAAGCTTTAAAAAATGAAATAATGTAAGCAAATGTTAATGTACCATAAATAGACTAATAACAGATTAGATCCAAACAATCCTCTTTAGTTAAGTTTAGTTTAAGGCCTCCGTATCCTCCATTTGTACTTCTGAAATCTGTTTTTATTGTCCCAATTGCATGATGAAAATTGCTTCATTTTGTTTGCAGCTTTCAGTCTTCCGTCCCTTTTTTTCACCCCACTCCTCATACAAACGTATTGTATGATTGGTCAGAAGTTTCTGGGTGTATTTCTTTATTCAGAAAAGTGCTCGGACACTGCATTTGGCTTCAGCTACTCACTTGCAGAATGCAGCTGTTTTACCCATAACCAGACATTTATAAATATAGTCAAATGCCCCCAAACTCATAAATAGAGATAGCAGCGATGTTGTACATTGAGACATCTGTCTGCCAAGAACTGTGGCGCTTTAACCGGGACAGATTTGTGGCCAAAATAACGGCGGGCATCGGAGCTTTTTTCAGTGGGAAGTGACGTAAACCCCAGTGGGAAGGGTTTCGCAGGTGCTCTGCATTGTGTGTCAGGTGTGTGGAAAAAAAAAACAACGCCAAACAACCATGTGACCAGAAGTCGACTCTTCAGATTGAGTATGCTGGGCCCTTTAAGTCACACACCATTGATCATGTTGGGAGCTGGAATGACGTTCTGGAAATTGAAATTCTGAGCCTCTAAGTACCACAGAGTGCCTATCCTCACAGGGCCTGCTTGTAAATTTGAGCAATCTTGATTTAGTTTTTATTGATTAATTTTGCCTTCCTGATGCTAACCTGGTGCTACTGTACCGACAACACACTGAAAGAGGATGGGGGGAAGAAATAAAAAAGAAGATTACTCTGTGTTTAATATATACTTATTTAATTTAAGTGAGCTGTGCATATCTGTCCAAACCCTCATATCTCTGTGTTCTGTGTCTCTGCTCAACCAAGGCTTTTTTCTCTGTGTGGTTGTTCACAACAACCATCTGCATTACATTTGGCACTGACACCAACATCCAGAGATGATCTGACGCCCTTCTAGCTGTTTTTTTTTATTTTTATTTGTATTTTTTTACTAGCTCCCAAAGCATGAMATTGAAAAGTAAATGAATGTAAAGTGAATGCTCATTTACAGTTGGTTTAAATTTAGTTTTAATTATGTATT